CTATTCATACATGGCACTATAACAGTGCGTTATGCGCATTTCATCATGGGTGACTCGGTCTGTCTGTAACCAAATTTCACACCGTTGCCTAATCCCAGTGTCCCGCAGGACTAAAGCGTATATATGCTCTCAAGATTTGATATCCCAAATGAACCGATCCATTTTATATTTCAAGCCGTGTCAAGATAAAAAGAAACTTACTCGGCGACCCAGACGGCGGCCATGCCCATACCAGTGCCGACACACATGCTAGTGCTGCCGACCTTCTTGCCCGTTCGCTTCAGCTCGTAAAGGAGGGTAGAAACCTGGCGGGCACCAGTGCAGCCCAGAGGGTGGCCGAAAGCAATGGCACCACCCTTGGGGTTGATCTTTTCGTGGGGGATCTGGAGCTCATTGGCGCACCAGAGGCACTGACTGGCAAAGGCCTCGTTGATCTCGTAGATGTCGACGTCGTCCTTGGAGATACCGGCGAGGTCGAGGGCCTTGGGGATGGCCTTCCAGGGACCCTGGCCCATGAGCAGCGGCTTGACGCCAACGACGGCTCCGGCGACGTACTTGCCGATGATGGTCTGGCCGAGCTTCTCGGCGGTGGATCGCCTCATGAGGAGGACGGCGGCGGCACCGTCGGAGATCTGGGAGGCATTACCGGCATGGATGCTGCCGTCGGCGGCGAAGGCAGGCTTGATCTTGGCCAGGGACTCGGGAGTGATGCCGTCGCGGACACCGTCGTCGCGGGCGACGGTGATTACCTTGGTCTCGCCGGACTTGGGGTCCTCGAACTTGACCCTGAGGGGAACGATCTCGTCGTTGAACAGACCCTCCTTTTGGGCCTTGACGGCCTTCTGGTATGAAGAGGCGGCGAACTTGTCCTGGTCGGCACGGGCAATCTTGAGATCCTTGGCCATGTCCTCGGACAGAACGCCCATGGGAACCTTGCAGTTGGCTGACTCCTCGTTGGCCTCCAAGGCCTCGGAGAATTCGCTCACGGCAGAGGGGCTGAGAGCGTGGATTGTTAACACGGAAAACTGATTTTGGAGATGAAACAAAGAGGCCACGGCCGCATTCGGCGTGAAGCCGTCTGAAAAGCTTACCCATAGTTCAGAGACATGCTCTCGACACCGGCACCAATACCAACGTCAATCATGCCCGCCTTGATCTGGTTGGCAACGTCAATGCAGGCCTGAAGACCGGATGAGCACTGGCGGTTGAGAGTTCGGACGGCAGTGGTCTCGGGGAAGCCGGCCAACAAACTGGCGGCGCGCATCTCGGTAGCACCACCACCGGGGGCGAGGACAGTTCCGACGGCGATATCCTCAACGAGGGCGGGGTTGATCTTTGATCGGTCGATGACGGCCTTGAAAATACCAGCCATGATGTCGGCGGCCTGGGTGTCCTTGAAGCCACCCTTGCCACCCTTGGTGAAGGCGCTTCGGCAAGCAGCAGTGACGACGACCTGCAAGAAATATAGTCAGCTCAAAACGTCCCGCTCAGTTCCGCTCAAGGGAAAAAAGACGTGTTGATGCGATGACTTACATCGTCAGGGCGCTTCTCCAGGATTCTGTCGCGACCGCCGGCGGTGGGGGTGGCAG